GGAGGAGGTGAGGTGTAGGGAAGGAGGAGCAGGAGGAGGTGAGGTGTAGGGAAGGAGGAGCAGGAGGAGGTGAGGTGTAGGGAAGGAGGAGCAGAGGAGGGGAGGTGTATGTGAACAAGTAGAGGAGTTGAGGTGTAGGGAAGGAGGAGGAGGAGGAGGGGAGGTGTAGGTGAACAAGTAGAGGAGGTGAGGTGTAGGGAAGGAGGAGGAGGAGGAGGGGAGGTGTAGGTGAACAAGTAGAGGAGGTGAGGTGTAGGGAAGGAGGAGCAGGAGGAGGGGAGGTGTAGGTGAACAAGTAGAGGAGGTGAGGTGTAGGGAAGGAGGAGCAGGAGGAGGGGAGGTGTAGGTGAACAAGTAGAGGAGGTGGTGAGGTGTAGGTGAACAAGCAGAGGAGGTGAGGTGTAGGGAAGGAGGAGCAGCAGGAGGTGAGGTGTAGGGAAGGAGGAGCAGGAGGAGGTGAGGTGTAGGGAAGGAGGAGCAGGAGGAGGTGAGGTGTAGTGAAGGAGGACGAGGTGAGGTGTAGGGAAGGAGGAGGAGGAGGTGAGGTGTCGGGTTGGAGGAGCAGCAGGAGGAGAACAGCTCCACCCTCCAGCAGATCCCACAGCAGCAGCAGAAAAGCACCAGTCAGGAGGAGGTGAGGTGTAGGGAAGGAGCAGGAGGAGGTGAGGTGTAGGGAAGGAGGAGCAGCAGGAGGAGAACAGCTCCACCCTCCAGCAGATCCCACAGCAGCAGCAGAAAAGCACCAGTCAGGAGGAGGTGAGGTGTAGGGAAGGAGGAGGAGGAGGTGAGGTGTAGGGAAGGAGGAGGAGGAGGTGAGGTGTGGGGAAGGAGGAGCAGGAGGAGGTGAGGTGTGGGGAAGGAGGAGCAGGAGGAGGTGAGGTGTAGGGAAGGAGGAGGAGGTGAGGTGTAGGGAAGGAGGAGCAGGAGGAGGTGAGGTGTAGGGAAGGAGGAGCAGGAGGAGGTGAGGTGTAGGGAAGGAGGAGGAGGTGAGGTGTAGGGAAGGAGGTGGAGGAGGAGGGGAGGTGTAGGTGAAGGAGGAGCAGGAGGAGGTGAGGTGTAGGGAAGGAGGAGGAGGTGAGGTGTAGGGAAGGAGGTGGAGGAGGAGGG